GTCACCGGATTCGCTGCGACGCATGGACGAAGCCGACCGATCCTTCCTGTTCTTTGTCTTGTGACTTGAGAACATTTCTTTCTGGCGCGCCTTTTCTTTTGCGACAGCGACAGCGGACGCTGCAGCAATTTTGTCTTGCGTTGCGCGTTTACCAGAGTGAGACGACAGAGGCCGATTCTGGAGCCCCTGATCGGAGTCATGAGTAATGATCTCGTTCTTTTCTCTCGAGAGTCGTCGGCGCTTCTGTTTCGCCTTTCTGCGTTCTCTTTTCGCCTGGTTGCGCTCCCTCTTTTTACGTTCGTGCTTTCCAGCTACGTCCAGCTTTGCTTTTCGAGCGATTTCCTCCTGATTTGCCCTTCCTTGGTCTTCTCCCTCCTGACGTTGCTGCGAGCCTTTCTGGACCGTGTTCAAGAGTTTTTCCATCTTCTTTTCCTCTTTGGCCTGATAGACTCGCTTTAGAATTGCCTTCTCGTCTTCTTTCAACGTCGGTTCCAGTTGCAAAGGTCGGTTGTCAGTTGTCCCACTTCCTGCTGAACCGAGGGTGACTGTTCGTGATCTGACCCAAAGCACCTCGCTGTCCTTGGGTACTTGTGGGGTATCCTGTAATACAGATAGCGTTCTGCTCTTAGGGCGAATGGCAGTATTCGATCTCTGAGTACGTTCTCGTGAACATATGTCGTCATCCTCTGCATCCTCTTCAACCTGGGGGTTGCTTAAATCCACCGCAGCCGGCTTGTTGTTAACTTCATCACCGCTAGCCTTTCCCCGTGCAAATCTTCCATTCTTGGCTCGTCGTTGAAGGGAGGGGTTAGGACCATCACCCCTTTCCGCTGCAGTGCGTGCTACCTCAGTCAATTGCCTGAGGCTTTTTGCTTCGGACTCTGGCCCATCAATCTGTGGCGCGAGCAAGTTGGCACGCTGGGTTGCTCTGAATTCGGCGATACGGTCCGGACAAAAACAATCCCGGGCGGGTATCCATTCCAACTCTTCCCAGCCCACCCACTGAACAAGGAACTTGTGTCCACCAGGTCTCCTTTCGTCTGCTATTCTTTCAACATCGTATTTCCCAGGGGCGTAATCTGTTTCGATAGACTCCATGACTTGGTCCTGTACCACCTCATCGCGCACGTCAATATCAGCCTCCCGAACTTCATTATTCCCCCACAAACGCCAATTATTGTTTGGATGGGCCTCGAGATATCGAGGGTTTCCGTGTCGCGGACGAAGTCTATCTTCGTGCCATCGTTCCGCCCAATCCGGCCAACGACGACGAGATCGCACAGACAAACCGTCATTCGTATCTCCAGCAGCTACCCTGCCCAATACATTCATGTTGTATTGAGGTATGGTAGAGCGTGCTCGCAAGTTATGTCCTACAAATCCGTCAGCATCTGATGTTAGTCGTGAGTTCTGGGCATCTTGCCTTCCATTTCGGCGATCACATCACCATCCTCATCCTCATCCTCACTATCGCCAATCACAACTGTATGCATTTGGCTACAGGTCTTCGAAGATGGTCCTGGGCTCTTGCGAGCTTGGCATCTAGGTGTAGGGGAACAAGGTGAAGACCTTAGTGGAGTCTTCGAAGCGGTTCGTGCCAAATCTGGGAGATCGGAGAGGCCTGGCAAGTCGTCCTCAAGATCTTCACCACCTTGCAGGACTTTGTCGAATCCCTGTTCCCACTCCTCCCTCTCAGTCGGAGTCAGGTTTTGTAGCCCCTCCTGGGGAGAAACGGTGTTGTGAGGTTCGATGGGCGGCATCTTTTCGGTCACACGTACTGGAGTCTTGCATTTTCCCTTCTGTACGCGTGCTCGATCCGGCGACTGGCGTCCTGCGAACAGAGTCCGAGGCGTATTAATAGCAATCCATCCGCTGCTTGTATACCCAGAGTAAGGAAGGATTGGCAGTGGGTTTTGAGGCCAGGGGGTAGATGAATATGCCATTTTTCAAGATTCACACGCGTTCACAGAAGTCTCGTGAGCTGTGGAAACACTCGCAGAAATCTCGCCCGTGACGACGTTTTAACTGAAATTAACAGCAAGGCTAAAATCAGGAGGTTTTGACGTAGATCTAGAAGCAAAAGAGGTTTGAGTTTCATTCGTTAAAATGTTTTGTGTGTGAAGAGGTTAGAAGTGAAATTCGCGTTCGTGAATTGAGGGGCAGTGCTCGGATGGTGAAACAAGAAAAAGCAACACCCAAGAGCAAACTTTAGACAAGGAAAAAAATGGTAGATTGCAGATGAAGAAACAAGTAGATAGTTCTGTTCAGGGATCCCATCCAGGATCTCTATTGCAACTAAATTGACCAGCATGCTGGTGCCCATCAACTATGTCCATGGAACGGGTGTATTGATGCCCGCACCAACGAAATTCTGGCATTATAGGCCGATTTCGAGAATGACTCGAGGTATCATTAATGTCTGATGCTTAAACGAAATTTCAACGGGAGAGATCATCGCGTTGCATCAAGTTCCGTAGACGCATTGTGGTGGCTTTCAAGTGGCATTGTGACTCCGATTTGTGAGATGCGTTGTCAACACCTGCTTGCCGTGACTTCACGCCTACTGATGATTCTCATGTGACTGAGAAGCCTTAAAACACGAAGTAACAGTATTTTAAAAGCTGAAGTAGGAGTATTCTGGCATCCCGATCCCAAAAAGAATCAGACAACAGCCCCTCGGAAATCCACATTCACACTGATGTCTCGAATCCAGGCGCCGTGGTGACTGCATTCGCCAAGACCAAAAACTTGTTGGGTGAACCCAGTGTTGTTGTTTATAATGGTAAGCAAGCTGCATAATATTGCCCGAGAAATATATAGAAACATTTACTGATATATGCAGATGCCAAAAGTCGGAGAACTGACCGAAAACCCGCCCGAAGATCCGCTCTTGCTCAAAGTAGAAGATTTTGAGAAGGACTTGGTAATCAATACTACCAGCGCTTTCGTAGCAGGCCAGCAAGCTGTTCTTGCCTTTAAATTGCTCCGGCGCTCCTCTTCAAAGACTAATTTACACGGGACATAACTTGAACGAAACCGTCATTCCGGGGTTGATGGATCTAGGTGCTGGAACAAGTGCGACGGCGCATATTATTCGCACTGCTGCTGCAGCGTACAAAGAGGACAGATTCAAGGACGTGCTGATTGCCTTGGTCTTTGAGGAGATGGAGCGGCTAACGAATGGATGGTAGATTCTATTATGCGAATGAGCGCACTGCTAATGGAGGACCTGCTTGGTCTAACATTAGTGGAGAAGCTCTCGGGAAGCTCTATGTAGAGCTAGCTGAAGGGAAGGAACAGGGACCTTGGCAGCAGACTTTTGTGAGGGGGGACTAACATATGCAAAGTTGATACCTAGGTATGCTCTACTATGTCAAAGGTTATATATATCCTCGCTTAATTGTAGTACCTTTATTACAAGTATATAAGCTTCTATTAGTTTGCAGCTTTATATATTTTACTATATGTATACCTATAGAGTTCTCTGAACTTACTATAGGCTTTCTGCTAGAACTGTACTAGATGTTAGTTCTGCGAGCAGTTCTTTAACGCTATTATCATCGCTGTTACTATAGAGATCGATAATATTAAGAGCCGTCGCTTTCTTCACGGAAATACTAGATATGACTAACATATAGAATATCCTACATTTTTTTCAATTACGCTTTCCTATCTTTCTAGCATTATAAAGCCAGCCTAGTTCGGCCATCATATGTAACTACTCGGGTCATACTCTCACACATGCAGGCTTGCCTACGGCGGAATTGGAACCTTCAAAAGTCTACTCAATAAGGTATATATTTTGAAATCAAGAGGGAAAAAGGGAGTAGGAAGCCATCCTTTCTTATACTAACAAATTCAGATAGGCAGGTTAGGGAATAGGTATGAGTCATTACCCCACCTGTATCCACACAGGGTTGGTAGAGTCAAAAGGCATTCAAACTCGGAAGTTGGAAATTATCCCGCCTATATTCACAAAAGCTAGGTAGTACCAAAGGGCGTTCACACTCGGAAGTGTGAGTAACCTCAATGACGTAGGCTATGTGAATTCTGGAGGGTGGAGGCACATGCTCCCAGCACGTGATGCACCAGCATGTCACTGGCCTGTGACAGCATAAGCATGTTCTTAGGATTATATACACCTAATTCGAAATAAGCTACTAGCCTCAGGCGGCCTTTGCATTTCATATCTCTGATTGCACGACTTTTCACTGAAAAGGCTCTTCGTTCTGCTGTGAAGTTTCGTAGCATAGCATATAGACCATAGTGTGAAGCTTATTGAAATGTGCTATTACAGTATATAATGAACAGAAAAATATAGTATATCTATCAGTTGGTCGATACCTAAGAGTCGGAATACTTCGCTCTCGGATCCCTCTTCGGTATGACTCGTCTAGTGGCTGCCAGTTGCTTGAATGATAATTGGTTAACATTATCTAGTTCCACATAGGCCGACATGCATGAGAGCGACAGTTTGATCACAGCTACGAGGTGAGTCAGCAGCATTGGCAGGATATAACTACCTTCGGAGGCGGATGCACAATATACACACAAAGTATTGTTACATACAGACAAACAGAAGTTGATGCATGAGATGTGCAGGAGGCGGTGCACCTCGGTGAACCCCAGCAGACCAACTCATTCTCGCAGGGCTACTTTTACTCCTCGAATGTTTATTCCCGGGCAGTTTGTTCCTTGAGACGTTTTTATAGCTCGATATTTGAAATGTTGTGCATTACTGGTTAAGCGGTTAATCTGTAGGGGATGCTGTGGCTGTCATATGGACTTGAAGGTGTGGCTGCATTGTAGGATGATGTGGCAGGAGCCGACTACATACTTGTACTCGTTCGTGCTCGTGAAGGCCTCAGGCTTTACATTATCTTCATGCATCGTCCCTCGTCCTCGTCTGACAGTATTCATGCTTTCTTCCGGATTTCTAACCAACTCTACCTGTCATTCCCTCGCGCAGGCTGTGTCCGGACAACCCAAACTTATCCACCATGGTCTTCTTTACTCTCTCAAATCTAATTCTTACCTTCCTTGCCGCTCAGCTGCTTCAACTCCTATACATAGTCGTACATCGTACTATTCTCTCACCATTAGCCAAGATCCCCGGCCCAAGACTCGCGGCGCTAACAAGTTGGTATGAGTGCTACTACGATGTCTTTAGGCCCGGTCAGTACGTTTTCAAGATCAAGCAGCTGCATGAGGAGTACGGTATGTCTCAGGAAGTGCAGGCCCTCCTTCTATATCTAAGACGTTTTCTGCAAAGGCCCTATTATTCGTATCACTCCCCGCGAAGTCTCCGTCTCCGATCTGGCCTTTCTGGATACCATATATGCACCTGGAGCTCATTCCAAACGCAACAAAGACTTGGAGAAAGTTAAAGCACTGGGTATCAATACTTCGACTGGTGGAGCTATTGAGCATGACCTCCATCGTAAGAGACGAGATTCGCTCAATCCCTTCTTCTCAACGAAAAGCGTGATGAAGCTAGCCCCCCAAATCCAAGCAAAGACTGCCCAACTCGAGGATATATTTGCTACTAGTCTGGCGCAAGACAAAATTGTGAATTTATCAGACTTCTACTTTGCCTTTGCAAGCGAGTAAGTTACCCCCTATTGTCTTGTCATGGCCAGTCGTCTGAAACACTATCAGCGTTGTTTCTCAGTACTGCTTCAGTCGCAACCAGAATATCCTTGCCCGCCCACAACAGGCAGCAGTCATGCGAAAGAATGTAGTAACTGTGTTGAGAGGTGTTAAGTTTAACCTCCACTTTGCTTGGGTGCGAAGTTTGATCCGCATGCTTCCGGCTTCTCTATCAGGGCGTTGGGTGCCTCAAGGTATCAAAGACATGTTAAAGTTCAGAATGGTAGGTTCTCCTGTCTTAAGAATATACTGAGTCGTGGATGCAGCGAGTGCTAAGCAGCTTGAATCATAATACTAACTGAGAATACACAGCAAATTCGTCGAGAAATTCAACAGATACTCGAAAAGAAGGACACGGATACTCACGAGTTTCCCCATTCTATATTCTACGAACTCAGAGAAAGCCCAGCACTTCCAGCCTCGGAGAAAACCGTCCAAAGATTTGAAGATGAAGCAACATTGCTTGTCATGGCAGGTCTGCTGCCCAACCAGCGCTCAAACTCAAAAAGTCGTAAGGACTGACGAGAAAAAACCAGATCTTCTGGTCTTTTGATCTAGTTCAATGCCTCGCGTTCGGAACAGCAAAGCTCTCGGTCATTTTCTTCTACCGACGCATATTTTGCGGCCGTGTGTTCAACGTTGTTAGCATTGCAATGGCTGTTGTTGTATCCATCTGGACCGTCGGCTTATTTTTTGCGATTCTCTTTCGCTGCGGAACAAAGTTTTGGGCTCTCTTGTAAAACACGGTCTATCCCTACCGAATATTAAGACGTTTGGGTACATGTAGAGTTGCTGCTAACTTAGAACAGGGCGCCTTTGAAATTTCTCCTTCAGAATTGCTATAATAGTACCCCGATGTTCCAAGCGTTTACAATTTCGGATGTCATAACTGATGTCCTGATACTTCTCATCCCAGTATACTGGATTTCGAAACTACAGATGTCAATAAGGAGGAAGTTGGGGATCTGTGCCATCTCTTTTCTGGGTGCGGTGTATGTTCAGCCAATAATTCTTTTCATGCCTCTGTGTATACTCATATCTCCATAGTATTGTTGGGGCTGGAATTGCTCGCCTTGTAATCTTCCTTCGACAAACCAACAGTGTGTTTTTGCATCCGAAGAATGTCAAGTAAAAACGCGCGCAGTAACTAACTTCAAAATAGACCCCTATCTTAATGCTGATGGTATTGGGCACTTAACGACCGAAATCTGGTGGTCGATGATCGAAATGGGCATTTCCGTCGTTGCAGCTTGCCTGCCTACTCTCAGACCTATATTTGGGAAACTCTCGCCAGAACGCATAGTGCAGAGCATACGAAGCATGTTCTCTCTGCAATCGCTTAATTCTTTGACATCCAGTGCCCGTAAACGCCGAGCAAGATCCGTGGAAGACTCGAGCGAAAACAATTCAAGATACATACAGTTTCCAGACGATCAAGCTTCAATAGAGCATTATCATCAAAATCCCAGCGCCCACATCAATACAGTTGAGTCTATCAGACTGAGAGATCTCGAGGCACAGAAAAGTTTGGGCAGTATGCCAATCCTTGCGACAACTGCAAGGTAAAACACAATCATTAGTTAACTTCGGTATTGTATGGAGATAATTAGAGACCTAGATCGAGTTCTAGGTACGGTAAGATGGTGTTCATCTACGTGTTGCAGCTTTCCAGGAAGAATCCTCAACAATGATCATAATTGCTGTGGTAAGATAGGCTTAGGCTTTGTGTGTCCCCATAACTGCTATAGTAGGAATTAAAAAAGAAAATTTATATAATAACTACTATGCACAGCTATATATAACACTTAGTTAAAGTAGCTAAGTATTTATTCTAATGAACTAGGAAAAGAAAAAGAAAAAAAAAGTTGCTTTTATAATATAAGACCTAGGCTGCGCTTATCATAAGCTTAGATAATAGGTACTAAGTATAAGCGCTGCTGCTATGTATATAAAAGAGCCTTGCTAAGCTGAACTAGCTAAAATAGGAGGCTGGAGATAATCATTTTAGAGCTCTAATATACGTCCGAGCTTAATACAAAGACTTATAGACATATTTCGTATTCAAGACATGAACGTATTATTATGACCGACCTATGCTATCGACGCGTCTTCCTGAGCCTTACACCGCGCCTCTTGGTGGTAATATTTCAGGGTCCAGGTCAAGTAAAAGCAGGAGGAACGCATAGACAGCCCCACTAGCTTTCGGCTGCTTCAGTTCCGCTTTTTGCGTCAATTCAATCAGAAATGACCAAATTTCTGGCATCTGTAAAGGTTTTCTTGTTAAACAAACTATCCAAGATGAGGAATGAAAATGATTCTGAGAAGAATGGTGAGGTAAAACAGAAATAGATATGAACATACTTTCTCGCGCACTACGGTTTTCTTTGCTCTCCAGTCCGGAGAAGCTTCTATATCAGCAATGTAATCCCACATACCTGCACTATTTGCCAAAGCCATAGGAGCTGAGAGCTGCATCTTCTCACTGCAATCTTGACTACTGCCCCGCCGCCCTTCGTCCCACAACAAGTCTTTCCTCCCACACGAGAATTCGTCAAGAAATAACTCCTCGGCCGCTCGTGTAATCTGCTGGTTGTAACCTTGGACTTCTCGATTGCTCCAGGTCTTGGAGCTGGCTTGTAGAGAGGCAATAAGATGGGGTAGGGAACGAGATCGGCTACGAGATTGTGCCCAGTAGAGGACGTTTTCTTCGTGGAAAGAAGCCGTGTAGTACTGTAATAACATGTCGTCGATACTTTCGAATCCAGCACTTTCAATAGCACAGATAACATGTTGGAATCGAGATTCGAGATCGAGTCCGGCGGGATAGGGGAACGACGTTGAGGAGTTGATGGAAGATGAGGGCGTGGGTAGCATGTGAGGAGTTGGGTTGCTATTGTTGTTGTTGAATTGATCAGAGTTTAGAGACCGTAGCTTTTCTACATCTGCACCATTTGTATCCAATGGGCGAGACTGAAGCTGCTGCACTGGTGGCTGGGATGGGTTCATTTCACTTGGTGTATGTGTCGATGGCTGACCCAGCTCAGGCTTCCATGGGAGTCCGAGTTGTTGTTGATCATGTTGCATCAGAGAATCGCCCCTCTGTGGTGGAATTCTACCATCTCTGCAAGTGAGCTCCTGGATATCATGTTGTGGGTCATGGTTTCTGGCCATAAATCCTGGAATTCCTTCAAATGGGGGTTCTGAGTTGTGGATGAAATACTGCTCCAGATCTGGGTTTTGGCTCAGGGCGTCCATTGTCTCCAAATAAACAGGTTGTGAGAGGCCTGTCGTAGTGACATGCCACTGATTCTGAGCCATTGATTTCGGAGATTTGGTCAGAGTAGCTAGTGGAGTAGTTGCAGAATTTTGTCTATCTGCATTATTTTTCTGCGTATTCGTGTTCGTGCTGTTTAGCCCAGCGCTGTTGTTTCTTGATACGGCTACAAATTAATGTCAGCTGTTGATCAGGCTCCGAAAGGTTAGTTACGTTAGTATGGTCTGGATGATAACACGTACTGCTGCGGTGCTTTCGCTGTGCCAACCGATTTCGCTTCTTTTTGAGTTCCGCAAAGTCGTTAAGCACAAGTACATACGGACCTTCGCTGGCAGCGGAAGATGTGTTATATTCTGGCTCATGGGTACCGTTCATTTCCAATGTGCTGTCAAAATCTAGAAGTCCCAGCACGGGCACGCCACAGAAACGGCCCTAGTCGTTAAGTATATGCAGGGAAAGACGTTGTGTCACTTTCCCACTGGTTTCCATTGAGCTCCGTAGTGTTCAAGTAGACATTGCAATAGATGTAATGAAGACTAATAAGCTGTCAAGAAATAAAAGAAGAAAGTGTCCCTCAGCTTATGAGGGGTCAAGCTTTACAAAGCTCAAGTACGGGACGTTCCGTTCTCCGCAGACTTGCGAGCGAACCACTCAGAGGGCCGGTAGGGGTAGGATTCATGCAGGATTCTCGCACGGGCCTTAGACAGAACATTTCCGGAAAGCTTATCCTACTCCACATATACTTCGTCCCAGGCATGATAAACCCCTGGTTGTGCCAGGGGTGATTTTCTATGGCAGCTCCTATTAGAGGAGCCCTGCCTTTACAGAATATTTAGGTATAGCGCGCATAGCAGTGAAGGTATTATGATTCAAACGGTAGAGATAATCACACATGTTATTATTCCTATATTTATTCTATTTATATTATCTACATACTTATTTTAAGCCTCTTGGGTTCTTCCTAGACTGATAGGTTTCCTAGCTTATTTCATGCGACTTAATAAAGTAACTACGTAGTTTCCGGCATACGAGCACGAATACAATACACTGAATACAGGGTCTCGTTGTCGAATACGCATGTCTCTCTCTGCATGTCTGCATGATGTGTATGTAGCCTTTACTTGTATTGTATTTGAGATACGACTATCTCGACTATTCCCCGCCTCAATGGAGGTTAATGAATAATCCTTTGAGCCACCATAAATACAAGGGGATTAAGCCAGTGATAATACTGTGTCTAGGGTACCCTTATCGTGAATAGTGGGGTAGTTGTACGGGACTTGTACGCAAGGGCATTAAGGCCATTAATTTATATAGGATCCTACATTTTATGGAGCCTTTATGTGATTCAACCTTGATATAAGGGGGCGGGATAGCAGGGGTTATGAATGTTCTTGTTCTAGTATACTGTAGGATCGCTCCCCCGCTGCTCCCGTGGGGTTCATCGCATTAGACAATAAGTCTATGATGGTTTAGTAGGCGAGCTCGGCAAGAGATACTTCGTCCCAGGCGTAAATATTCCGCCAAAGAAAACAGGTGCAGGGGAATAACAATGATAGTTTAAACACCTTGCAAATTACGCCCGTAACGAAGTAACTCCGTTTGAGCTCTATGAATGGAGGCTTTAACGCGGGTGAAAGCAATACCAACAGATTTGGTGAGGAATGCCAAAGCGAGTGCATGGATGCGATCGATACTTTTGACCATTCACAGGCCTGAAGATCCCTCCCTTCCTCGCAAGGTCCCTGGCTCGAAACATAACGTAAATAAATATCTACGGAGCGCAAGGTTGCCGAGGTCCCCGTGCTTTACCCATGTCAGATTCCTCGTCAGAATCCTTGTCAAGCAGAAAGATGCAGATTATTTGGGGACAACACCATGTACTGCATATATTCATGACATCACCGATTCACGCGTGAGGCACAGTCAAATTACTTTTACAACTGCGCTTCATTCTAGCAGTTTTCAGACTAAAGTATGAAACTCATACGGGCACTCGTCTGGCCTGTTCTTCATATCCATCGCGATGCCCAGAAGCTTTTGGAAGTCAGGAAACCCAAGTCCCGTCGCCGGGTCCCAGCCTTCTGTGGCGTTCCATGACACGTAGGGGATCACATTTGCACCCGGGATAACCTGATGCCTCTGAATGTTGCTGCCCACACACCCGATACTGCCTCCCAGTGTGATGTCGGTAAGGGCGCGCACGCCATATTTGTACAGCCACGGGTTCATGAAGCCCATTGCAGGCAGACCAGCGCGAAAGCGCGCATCATTTAAGAGGCCAACGAGCGCAGCCCAGGCGGCGTTACCCCGTGTGCCTCCGCTGGGTGCAATGGGTGTACTAGTGAAGTCACCCTGAAAGATAATTAACATGTCAGCTAATAATTTGCGGATTGTGAGGGCGGATTATAAGGAAGAGGATGAGGGAGACCCAATGACTGACTTGATAATCAGGGAGAAAGCCCTGGAGGGATAAGTCAGGCGATGCCCGGCCAGTGGCGCTGAAGAATGGCGTATAGTAACGCAATACCTCGGGGCTGATATGGTGGTTCAAGTATGTGCTAACCGCCTCATTTTGCCAACTCGGCCTCTCAAAATAGTCTGAGAAGCCCCCAGATGAGATGTTCCATGTCATAAGTGGGTTCGTTTGGTTTGTTTCGCCAATGCTTGTAACGTAGGGACAGCTTGCAGGAAATTGAGGAGTGAAACGGGGCGTATTTTGACCGTCGTTACTTAGACAGGCTGTGCCAGGTCCTGCCCCTGCCATAGTTTGGACCACAGTAATGCCGCGGAGGCCAAGCATGCCGATTGCGTTGCAGACATGCTTAGCGTAAGCGCGAGGAATGGTTTGTTCGTCGTCGCTATACGAATGAGTAATTACCTGTGGTAGTTCCGCATTCGTCTTGCCAAGCATTTGTGTATACAGTGCAAGGTATGGTTCGTTGCCATTATCTTCCGGGAGCGGCCCATCCGCGTTTGGGATATATCCTGGCGCCAAACCACCGACGGAGTACTGTATCAGTGGTAGTTGACCGTTGGTCAGGGAAGTATAGGTGAAAGCATCGAGGTCTTCGAGATGCTCGCTCATAGCGCTTGGTTCTTGTGGAGTCAGGCCGCCTTGAATGACTTCGACAGTGAAATTGCGAGAGGGGATTGCGTAAAGTTCTTCGTATGCCTCAAGATCTGTATAGGAGGCAGTCATGTTGAAAAAGGCGCCCCAGGCTATTCTGCTGCCAGAGCTTGAGTTTGCCTCATAGCCGTTGATGTTGTAGATGTTTCGCAAGCATGAAGGAGTCCAGAATGTTTGGCAAGATTCAATTTCTGTTGGTTCTGAGCGAGGAGAAAGTCCATCATTCGACGGCATGGATCTCGAAGATAATCTCTCGCTGTCTTTGTGACTTGGGATGCCACCAAAGTAAGTTGTTGGAGAGACGAAATGAATGTGTTCTTTGACACTATCCGGGATGAAGTAATTCATCGCTCGCACCCTCTGCACCTCATCGTTCGTATAGGTTAGAAAAGTCGTGTTGAGTAGTTCATTCGCATTGCGTGCGCTTGTAGAAAAGCTGACATAATGATTATCAACATGAATATCCCCCCTTGAGATCCCAGCCCCTTCTAACCAAGCTTGAACCTCCCTTTTTGTGTGGTCTGAAGGTTTGAAGAGGGCATCAACTTCGTCACGATCTAAGTATTTGCCGTAACATGAACTGTCTGGATCTGAGATTCGCCTCAGTAGAGTATCTAGACGTGACAGATTCTGCTGCTTCAAGCTAACTTGCAGTCGAAGAGTGTCATCATCGGGAGGACAGCCGACATGCCTCCAGCCTGTAGGGAGAGTATATATTTCTTCGTGAGGCGTGGCGATGCTTTGTGGGAGACATATAAGTGTTAAGGCTAATAGAGTTTTGGAAAACATCGTTATATTGCGGCCACTAAATAATAAGCAGGATGAGAACAATAAAATCGATGGTTGATGTGCAACCAGACGAGAGCTGTCGTTTCAAGCCAGTTTGTCGCTTGAGAAACCGTTATCTAGAGAATATACCTCACCCACACTTGAGTCTGACCTCAATTACATTACATTATCAACATGATCGCTTTAGGACATGTCACTTCGAAGCGGACATAAGCATTTTCAACGCTAATGCAGCTTTACGAGCTAGAGGCCGTATGTACAATGTGTTGTCAGATATGAAGAAGCAACGATGATTTTCCACTTCAAATTTCGGTGTGCACGGTCGTAAACAACATGTGCATGGATATGACGGTGCACATGTACTTCGTAAGGTAGGTATAATTTACGTAGGTAGCTTTCCCCGGATGCATCTCTCCGTACGCTATACTTAGTAAACCCCAGGTGAGATATGCTGCATGCTGCATACCACTAGTGCAATGTCATGAGGCTGGATCTGGCTAAGAACCACCAGGGGGCGTCAGAATTCTGTGCACACCCCTGATTTTTAGCGAAGATAAATTAAAAATACACCAAATTCCACTAATCGTCCACTTCGAATGCGACGACGTCTATCACGTGCAACGATAAGTGGACGATTACTTTATAACTTAATAAATACAATAAATTTATACTATAAATATATAATAAAATAATATGTCAATTCCTCAAACTAAATGGATTAAATTATATATAAAAAATTAGTCTTAATTCTAAATCAACCAGGTCTGAGAGGGTGCTACGCTATCATGGATTCTTCATAAAACTTATATGCAATCTATGCCTACTGTTTATAGATTACAATTCCCTCATCTGCCCATTCTTAATGTCCGCTTAAGGTATCTGGTGCATAGGGTCTTTCGAAACCCATAAGCACCTACGCCCAGATCTACTTGTCGAATGGCCTCATGTACCAAGGTCTTGTTTCTCTGTACTGACGGTCCAAAGCTAATGACTTTAACATCGGGAACCACTGGTACTTTATCAGCTCACCCTATGTATCGTTATAAATAGGGATCAACTTACAGGCGTGCCCAAACCCGTCGCCGCATCCCAACCTTCTTTCGCGGGGAAACCGGCAGTATTACAACCCGGATTTGAGCCCGCTCTCACATCAGTTAATCCTTTGAACCCTCCTGAATAGAGCCATGGATTGAGCCAACCAAGTACAGGCTTCCCTTCCGCTAATAACGCGTCGTTGATCAGTGAGAAAATAGCGGCTGCGGCTGGAGAGGAGGCGCTCGTGCCGTCTATGATACGCGAAGTACCATTCCATACTGTTATATAATGATAGCCCCTCACTGCAATATCGGGATACCCTCGTCCGTTCCTGTTGTAAAGTCCACCGTGCATGTCACCCAGACCAGCCAGATATCCATCGACGGCCTCTTTCTGATATGCCGGGCGTGGGAAATAGTTGCTGAACCCACCACCCCCAATAAAATCCGTCCGAGCGTCAAATCCTGCAATTTCCGGACCCAGACCCCGCGTTGCACCAACGGCGGTAACATAAGGACAGGATGCCGGAAAAGTGGGCAGGAACATAGGTTTGCTAGAGTTGTCATTGCTAAAGCACATTTCATCTGCTCCAACGCCCTCATCACCGCTGGCGAAGAGAACTGATACGCCGCGAGCCCCCAGCTGAGCAAAGCCTTGACAGACGCGTCTGGCGTACCAGTATGGCACCGTTTGCTCCTCGTCCGCGTACGATGTTGTTATAACTTGTGGTAAATCAGGCTGTGCTAGCACGTATTGTAGCCACTCGAGATACGGCTCATTCTGGTTATGAGTTGTAAATTTGCTATTTTGGAAAGGTGCCTTCCCACCGACGTTGTATGTTGTTAAAGGAATTGGATATGCAAGACCAATGACTGTTTCGGCGTTCAGATTCCCCTCTAGACCAATTGTACCCATTTGTGCTACTTGGTCCTGTGTGACTGGGGCCTGTTGATTTGATCCATTTGCTATCAACACTGTGTTGATTTGGTAAGCTGCTCCCACCGCATCAGATCGGTATTTTCCCAGGAATATCTCAATGTCGGATTGGTTGTTAACCTGGTCAAGATAGTTGACTATTCCAATGTGGTTATTCCCGGTCAACTGTGGAGTGTAGTCAAGTGTGCCATACAATGTACGGAGACAAAGTGGCGAAGTCGCAAGTCGGTTGCATGCCTGCAATGTAGAGGGATTTGATGGCATGTCTTTGATGTTTGGAATTTCCATGTGACCCATCTGCGTCCGATCAATCTTTTCCAGTTCTTTATAGGTGGGCAAGCCATCACCCTCAAGATCTGTGGGCGACACCAGAGAACGTGCCATAACACGTTTTGATTGTTGTCTGGTGCGAAGGAAGGCATTTGTTGGATGCACGGCATTAATGTGGACGTGTAAATGTTTTGGGAGAGACCATTGTGCAGATCGAAGCACTGTTGATCCATCTTCTGCATGACGATATATGTGATATTGAGTATCGAGCAGACTCTCTGCAAGGTAAACCGGGATTTGAACATTTATCCAGTCTTGTGCCGGGCTGTATCTCAATTCGTGGATGCCAAAGTCCAACAGCCACTCCCGCACTTGGTCAGTCGTCTCTTTAGCGGGTTTGACAAATTCGTCGATTTCCGCTGATGAGAGATGTTTTCCATACCGCCGGTGAGATGGATCAGAGACTTTGCACATCGATTCGGTTAGTGAACAGGCCTCGATGCTTCTTTAGAGAAAGGGGGGAAATACCTTGATAGAGGTGTTTTTCAAGTTCATCAAATCGGCCATGGTTCAACCCAATTTGCAGATGAATCCTGTCCTGAGCCGGTGCTCGCCTTACTTTTTCCCACCCCAAAGGTATAGGATGACTGTCTTTCACTGCATAGGGTGATCGGATGCTCAATGGTGACGCAGTCGTCTCTGACAGACTCGTGAATAGAGCGAGTGCCAGTATAATAAGGCCCATCTTGTTGAAGGTCCAAATATTGACACATTGTAGGGGATCACGAAATCGAAGCCATGGTGTAAGTAACGAGAAATGAAGGGATCAATTTTTAACCCGCGAAAACCATAAAATTCCCCCAAAGCACTCTCGAATTATGAAGTCAAGTCTGTTCACCGTCACGTGGCATAAAAGTAATATGCAGTAGGTACCTACCTAGATAGCAACTTTGCTAAGCGAGGTGACTGGGCCCAGTGGTGTACTAATGCATGGTCACTCAATCCACCGCAGGGTTTGTGATCAGCCTTGATCCTTTGTCAAGGCTCCTAACAGATACTACAGACAATGCGTTGTCACCCGGGTTCAATAAGGAAACCCGGACTACAATTTTCCCTTCTAGGTATACTCGTTTACATTTCCAAGATAAGCCCTCATTGAACATGATTATTTACCGATTTTTTCAGACACAAGACTGCCTTTAAATGGCACGAAGTAAGTTTGTTCATCTTTCGATCAGAAGCATTCTGCTTTGCTGCACCATTCTCTAGTCAAAGTAATCACTTTTTGTTCCCTTTCCGCGCGATGAAGGCCCTCATCACTTCTCTATTCTTTTCCTACTTGGGTACCTTCTGGATTTACGGCGTAAAGGCAGAACCGGTGCAATATTGCAAGTTTGGATCCCCGGATGAAACAATCGATTTTTGTATGGGGGCATTGATGCACCAAAATGTTTCAACCAACATGCATGACATGTTCCTCACATTGCACATCCGTCGTTACGGGGGATCTGCCTTGGGATGGACGGCAATTGGGGCTGGTGCCGTCATGGAGGGTTCTCTCATGTTCATCATCTATGGGGATCCTCTCAGTAACGAGCAGCCCATTGTTAGTATTCGGACTGCGGATGGTCATCACCAGCCCACCCTCCTGGCGAAGACGGATTTGGCAGATGGGATGGATCTTCGAGTCATAAGGTCAGCATGGCTACCGGATGGCAACCCCGGGTTCGATCTCAGTACGGCGTCTCAAGTCGCCAAAATCTCTATAATATGCTACTCCTGTTCTCGATGGCCTGGAGCGGATATATCAGCAACATCTCAATCTCAACCATGGATATGGGCCTGGAATGCTAAGCAGGAATTTGATGTTTTCTCATTCGACGCGCATCTCAAAATGCACAAGCATCACGCTGGTGCGGGTGGCTGGGGAAACTTCTATCTCGATATGAGCCGTTCTATCAGTTTAGACCAGTTTCCTCCTTCAATACCACCTATCAGACCCAATATAGCAACTGTTGGAGCCTCGGATACACCTATGCTGCTCTCCAGCCACATCACTGCAATGACAATCGGCACAGGGTCTTACTTCCACGGCATTCTGCTGGCCACAGTTTTCCTGCTTTTTCTCCCAGCGGGGGTCATTGGCCTACGGTCTGGCTCGCCAAAGTCGTTTGCACTTCACTGGATTATCCAACTTTGCGCGTCCGTGCTTTTCTTTCTGGGTCTCACGCTGGGACTGCTCAAAAGGAGCAAAATCAATACGGCCCATCAATGGATTGGAATTGCTATATTCTCTTCCATCGGCATCCAAGGTTTACTGGGGTGGTGGCATCATAGGGTGTTTGTGCGGTTGCACAAACGTACCTGGGTATCGTATGTCCACATATGGCTTGGGAGACTAGTCATGATTGCTGGGTGTAGTAACATCCTTAGTGGGTTATTTCTTCGTGGGTACATGACTTCTAGTGCGATAGTCGTGCTCTCGATTGTGGTCATGTGCTTGCAGGCTATGGGGTTGAGTGGGTGGATATACTGCGTGCAGCGGAAGAGCAAGGCAGAGTATACGCCTAATAATGTTGCGTGGGCGAAAGTGGATGAAGATTCATTTGCTTTGACGAACAGCGACGATGAGGATATGGATGGCGATGATAAAGCAGAGGAAGATACAAGCGAAGAAAAGACTCCCTTCACGCGCAGGTCAGCCAGCTTTGACGGCAGATAAGATGTCTCAAAATTTAGTATTGTAGACCTAATTAGAGGGTTCAAAACAATGAGTTTATTTACCAAGCATAAATACAAAATCAACACAGAAGTGCAAATCGGCTCTCGCATGACGCTAAAGTATCAATGTAATATTACGTGTACGATCCGAACTACGCACAGCTCTAGTTTATCTTCTGCATGGGCTATACAACCTTCGCAACATGAGTTACATAACTTCAAGACACTTGCGGGACAAAAATAATTATCACATAAGATGTCACAAAGACAGGTTGAAAACTGTAACTGGCAATTGCAAAAACAGGTGCCCGGTGTAGTATAGGGGCTCGCCACTAAAACTGGTGGATGTTTAGCGAAGCTACTATTCCCACATCTCACATGACCCTCGGTAAAAGGAGTATAAATACAGCCTAATGCGCTGTCACTTCCGCTTCTGGCCGTTGTTCTTTATTTGGCTATAGCTTCTTTGACAATGCAGCTACCCTAGCCTTGAAATCAGTGAAGCAGCGAACGACATGGAGAGCCGAAACAGACCTCGAAAGCCTGAGGCTCGGTAAGATCTAAAGATGTTAAGGTGGAGTCGCGGATTTTGCGCCTAATCCCATGATTCCTGTCACATTCTGCAAAGTTTAAGACGCAGTTGTTACAGTCATTTTCCCTGTCTCTTTGACTGGCGCCCTATCTCTCTACTTCTGCTGCTCGGAAACTTATTTTTCTTCAGCTCGTTATGAATACTAGCTCAGAAATGGCACGTACATCATTATCAAATGCCTTGGACAATAAGTACGCATTGAAACTTCTATTTCAAGGTCATTGAGACTGCTAATGCCAAGAACAGGACACCTGAGAGATTACATCATCCTAGAAGCTCATCCGTCCAAAGTTACGAGGAATACCAAACCCAAAATACCGAAGACCTTGACGAAAACGAAACAGTTACAGATGGCTACAAAGAGGATCCTTTCAAACCGCTAGATAACATCTGTGAAGACAATGAGAATATCTTGACAATTCGAGCCGTCGCCGTTGGTGTCGTGTGTGGGTCTTTAGTCAACGCCTCAAATATCTACCTGGGCCTGAAATCCGGATGGACGGCGTCGGCGAATCTCTTCGCAGTACGTCTTACTCCATAAACTATAATAAAATCTTGTATATAATGACCACAAACCAGTAGTCTATCGTCGGCTTCGCGCTCCTGAAATCATGTCCCGAATTTCTAAAACATGTCCCATTCCTCGCTAGGGATTTCGGGCCTCGAGAAAACAATATTGTGCAAACAGCAGCAACGGCAGCTGGTGGCATGAGCACTGTATACATCTCGACGTTTCCCGCTATGTATCAGCTCGGCTTGATGACGAGCCCTGGGGAGGACTTCTGGAGGCTGGTGTCACTGACTGCAGCTGGAGGTCTTTTTGGTCTTTTCTGTGCTACACCTTGTAAGTTGTGACCAATGCTGTAATAACATGTAGTACTTCACATCCTTTCAAGTAAAATTAATTTATGATACGTTAAATAGTACGGAAATTCTTCATCATCTCAGTTGCTCGGGATTTGCACCTCGTCTTCCCGACCCCGTCTGCGACTGCAATCACGATTAGAAACATGCATCAAGCCGTCGGTGGTGGTAAATCCTCAATTCCACGGCGGAAGATGAAAGTTCTCTGCATTGCGTTTGGATTCGCTCTCGTGCATCGTGTCATGTCTCCGTACGCACCTGGCATTCTGTGGGTTAGTCACGATTCTTACCTGGAACCAAAATTTGGCTAACCCCGATCTCCAGGATTGGCACCCTTTTACTTGGTATCATGCTTTTGTACCATCCGATGCCACCGCCCTTGGTCTTGAAAGCTGGGGGTGGTATGTGGAGTGGACTCCCGCCTTCATTGGCACTGGCATGCTTGTCGGTACCAACGTTGCCACATATCACTTTATCGGTGCTCTGCTTGCTTGGTAAGTTAGCTGCGCTCACCGTATCCCGAAATCCGGACGCTGATGATGAAAGGGGTATTGCAGGTCCCCTTCTTGTCTCCTACGGCTTTGCGTTTGGCACAGAAATGAATGGGACAGGACTTGCGTCGTACATCACGATTTCTGATGAGTTCAGCAACGCTGGCCATCCTAGTCCAAGATACTGGCTTCTGTGGCCAGGGATTACTTGTATGATTGCAGTTTCTTTAACAGGTATGTAAATATTTATATCTTCACGAGTCTAGGGCTAATGCTAGTTTGAAGAACTTGCCTGCCAATGGCGCGTTTTCTGGTATTCTGGGAAACTCATGTGGTGCAATCTTTCACACCTGATCTCACTTGCCTCTATGTTAATCAGAGGTAAGCGGGAGTTACCATTGGAGAATATAGCAAAACCAGACGCCATTGAAGATCCCACTTCAGCCGAAGATCAAATCAAAACCTGGATGTGGCTTCCAGGGCTTCTCGTCACCATCATTTTGGCTTGCATGGTGATGAAATTTCAATATAGCATGCCTGTCCGTGAGACATTCATCGCCTTATTTATGGCATTCTTATTTTCTTTCCTAGCGGTTCAATCCACAGGCGCCACAGGTAAGACGCAAGCCCCTACATTTTGGGTGGATGTTTGACTAACCAACCATGATATAGACATCACGCCCCTGGCTGCAGGTGCGACGTCCTCTCAGTGAGTCAAATCCCCGTACAAAGAAGCTATATTACCTGTGTAAGCTCCAGAGCTGAAAGCTGTGTCAGGAGCTAAATGAATGAGTTCTCTAATGTGGAATCCTAACTCCTGAGGCAGCTCTTAGCTCTTTTTCTCCCTACCAAAATCTAAGTTCTCTCGGGCTAATTATTCGATAGAGTCATCCTTGGCGCAGATACATCTTCCCAAGGCTGGCCCATGGCGAAAGCTCAGAGGCTTAGTCTCCTTGGTGGAGCAATCTCCTCCATGGGCGCAAGCCAAGCCGCAGGTACATTCCACTTACTCCATATCCAGCCTAATAACTAACACCTACACAGACCTGACCGGCGATTTCCGCGTTGGCTTTCTACTACGCACATCACCCAAGAAACAACTGGCAGCTCAACTGATCGGTACCATCTTCTCTTCTTTCATTGCCCCAGGAATTTATACTTTATTCGTTTTCGCATACCCTTGCATTAATGATACAAATGCAACGCAATGTGCATTCCAGGTCCCGTCCGCTTCAGCGTGGCGTGCCATTGCAGTCGCCTCAACCGATCCCGCCTCCAACATCCCTCCTTCCAGTTTGGTATTCTCCATAATCCTGGGTGCCACAGGTATTGTCAGTGTGCTAATCCGTCATTTTTTCTGGACCGGAAAGTGGGGCTGGATGAGAGCGTATCATCCAAGCATGATGGTCGTTTCTCTAGCTTTTATTATTCCTGCTACAATCTATGCGACAGCCATGCTTATTGGAGCGCTATTGGCATGGTACTGGTTGAAAGTGAGTCCTAGGACGTTCGAGATGTTTGGGTTTGTAGTGGCAGCGGGATGGATTGCAGGGGAGGGGATTGGTGGGGTTATTAATGCAGGGCTGCAGGTTCTTGGGTTGTCAGGGGACGTTTTTGGTACAATGGTCGGTTGTCCAGCAAACGTATGTTAGTGAGTATTCGGGGGTAAGTATTTGGGGGCATATTATGAGGTGTGGAAAGACATTTCTGACCGAAGTGCTTTGTTCCCACTCGGACATGTTTCAGTCAGAAGCTCGGCATAAATAAAATTTGAAGCCAAGATGCATAACCTACTAGACTGGGGAAAAGCCAACTTCTGCTATTGCAATGTCCTCGCATTACAAACCACCTAAGGCTAAGAGTCTTGATTAGTCTTCCTTTCATATAATCTAGAGGGCTGATTCAAGGGCAAAAAATATGGCCATATACAAAACGAGTTCATTGAGGCACTGCACACGATATAGCTAATCATAAGTGTGGCGTGTTTCAACGTCACAATAAATACTTATTAAAAGGCTGTTAATTGGTACGGATATCATAATGATTCTATTTCCAGATGTTATATGCTCTTCACGACCCCTCTTAACAATCATATGATATTTGTATAATACATATCATTTGAGAATTTTGGAATGTTATCGCCCCATATAAATAGGATACATCAATGCGTTGAATTAATAAACATTTCCTGGAAATATGTAAGATCGGTAGAAGCGCGTCTGGAACGTCACCATCTTTTCCTGGTACGTTATAGACTAATAATAACTCTTAAAAATCAAAACATATATCTATAACAGGACAAGTGACTACGCAGGCCGTACAAGTTTCGAGTCCTCAAAAAATATGATATTGACGGGTCCCGACAAGCCAACTTCTAACCGTGCATATGGCTATCACTTCCGGTTGCAGCTCCAATATTATCTCCTTTGCCTGCGGGAAATGACTGACCCAGTGTAGGATGTACCAACCATCCCGGCTTGAGCATGTCGACACTCCTTTCCTTAGTCCAGGTTTCCAGTTTGTCCCAATTCACGCATTGGTGCGTCGTGGCATTGGCGACCGGGATTCGGTCGTGAGGACTCCACTGAAATGTGATTATCCCAACGTCTCCATGGCATATTGCTGCTTGACGAAGAAAATCGAGACAATGTTCTATGTTAAAAGGTGTAAGCCATTATTTCGGAGAAAGAAGATCATATTCTGGCGATGAATGTTAGGCTTACCGTTGTGTAGTCTGTTCATCTCGCGCTGGGTATCATCGAGACCTTTCCAGTAGATATCCTCGTACATGTATTGGTGAAGTCGTTTCTGCCGATGTATTAGTGAGTTGATTAAGAGACTCAGTATATAAGGTATTCTTACAATACAGTGGAGCTCATGGTATACGTTTAAAGTACCAATGAAACCATCATCTTCAGGAATCCGGACACTTATGTCCTGACGGCCAAGGGCCTCAATCACCTCTTTTTCAATGCGGATGTTCTCATCTGTTAAGCGTCAGTATCTTTTCACGATATCAATATAGAAGGGACTATATAAGCGTACCATTCAGGAGATCATGCCATGCTTTATCAACAGCTGGGCTTGGTCGACCTGAATACTTGCTCTTCTCTTGAATCCTGTCTCCAAGGACAAACGTCTTGGACTGCCACTCAACCGCCTTGCCAGCAGGAGCTAAGATTTGTCAGCATGAAAATCTCAATCAACGAATGATAGGCACATTTCTCATTGGTGGCTTACAGTGGCTCAAGTCAGGCCCAGTAGATGAATTGGAGGCTAGCTTAGCCGCCACAAAATACATAACCACAGAGTATAGCGCAAGGATCACGACTTGCATAATAATCATAGTTTTATGGCGACGCCAGATGGACGGCTTTGGCCCAAGAATGTCCTGGTGCTTTTCGAGCAGGCCATCTTTAGAATCATCGTCCGAAGAAGAGCCCCGAACAGAAGAGTACTGGTCGGCCGGATACCCTTTGATCTGCTTCATGGTTTTCTCCTGTATGAATTTCAAGTAGTGGTAACCCATTTTCAGAAGGTTGTAAAGAGAGAGGAGAAAACAAAGTGATGGGTAAAAGGGTGTAAAGAATGGGAAATAAAATGAATACTAGACTAAAACTCCTTACTGTACGCTTGGAGAATGTGTACTGATCCCACGGCAAAGCAACAGTGACATTGCAGCTAATATTTCAAGAACCCTCGTCTGTTCACTTTCGATTGCACTAGCCCCATCCCCGAGCTTTGAACATCCAGATCTATTGATAAGTGAGCACTGTCACCGAAAATGCTCAAGAGATCCTTCATTGCGAGGCAGCAGACTAAAGCGGATAATTACAGTACAGCAGCAAGCGCGGTCAAGGTTCAATTAGAGATATATGTCATATTTGTCAGCTGTCCTGTCATACCCGCCCCCCTTTTAAGGTTAATTCGTTCGCAGTAGGTAGCGAGGGGCAAAAGCTTAAACTTGGATGCAGGGGGGTGGTGGGGGAATAAACTTACTTGCCTTAGTAGCGCCTGACAGTGCATTCCGTGCCGTAATTGCATCCTAAAATAGACGAATTGCATCTGCAACCTACTTCCGTACAATGTACTGTACCGTAAAACCTGCATTCTCAACCCCTCACCTACCCCAAGTATGACACCGCGCCGCTGGCGTAGCAGACATTCCTTGCGCCCCATCATGTTGCGTAGATTGCATGAGTATTGCACGTGTTGCAATTTTGCTTCTGACATTTCTTATGTGCAGATAATTAGCGTGTGTCTACCCGCGGGTTAGCTTTGGTTCTCTCTCGGTGTAACACAATTGGAAACTGTATGACTTGGATTATAGCTCGTAAAATAACAAGTGACTGACTCATTGCGGCTCTGCTGAGAGAAATAGAATGATGAGCTCAAAATTAACAGGTCTTCACGTATCTTGCAATTGGCAAAATGATGCACAACTGGCTCTCCACTCCCTTGTTTTTAGCAGCACTCTGCTTTTCACTTTGTGCCCATAGTACGCCTTATTCTATCAAGGAGCGTCATCCGGTACCTGATGGTTGGGATCTCCTACGCCGAGCTCCTCTGCATGGGAAGATAAAACTCCATATTGGCTTGAAGCAGGGCCGATTTCACGAACTCGAACGTCATCTGATTGAAGGTGAGTTACGGTCCATCCAGCAGTTGTTCTAGACCGCTGGTGGCTTATTTATTCTTCTTTGGCTAATCCGTTCGTCCTACACCCAGTGTCAGACCCATCACACAACCGCTACGGCCAGTATCTTACAGCCGATGAAGTCAATGACTTGATTGCACCTTCAAAAGATACCCTTTCGTTGGTCCAGGAATGGATCGAAGAGTGTGGTATTGGCGCCCATAAGATCGTCTTCAGTATTGCTTCGGACTGGATAACTTTGGATTTATCCATCGGTGATGCAGAGAGGTTACTCCAGACAGAATACTCCGAATTCTGGCATGCAGAAAGCAAAACATTAGCTGTTCGCGCTTCAGAGTGGTCATTGCCGGAGCATTTACATTCTCATGTCGAATCAGTTCAGCCAACAAGCTCTTTCTTTCATGCAGCGGGGTTGGCAGCTAAGATAGACTTTCCACGGTCACTGTATGTCGACAAGGAAGAAGGAGCCGGCAACCCGGATATCAAGGACTTGAACCAGCTTGCAGAAACTCTCTCGGGTGAGCTGTCAGAGTCTCTTGATCTTGACGATTTGCCCAGCGACCTCAAAGCTAGCCAAGCATGCAACACCAGTGCCGTAACACCACTGTGCATACGTGCTCTTTACGGGACTTTGACCTACGAGGCACAGGCACCAGACCAGAATGCCATGGCAATAGTCAATTACGGAGGCGAGTTTAACAATCGGTCGGATATTGACCTATTTCTCAAGGCATTTCGGCCGGATGCTGCACGAGCCGGCGCCGCTTTCACTTTCCAGGAAGACAACATAGCTGGGGCTATAAATCAGCAAACCCCTGCGACTGCCTCACAACTCTCTGAGAAGATGGGACGAGAAGGAAATTTAGATGCGCAGGCCCTCCTCGGTATCGCTTTCCCCACAGCCATGATCAGCTATTCAATTGGCGGCGAAGCACCAGCCTTCGAGCCCGATAAATACACACCAACCAATACCAATGAGCCATTCCTGACTTGGCTCCACCATGCCCTCGCACAAAAAGAACTCCCTCAAGTAATCTCCACTTCTTATGGAGATATTGAACAGACTGTGCCTTATACCTACGCTAAACGTGTGTGCGAAGGGTTCGCCCAACTCGGCGCACGGGGCGTAACCGTTATTTTCGGCGCTGGCGATTCCGGAGTTGGAAAGGATGGGTACTGTCGTTCGAATAATGGGTCTGATAGCTATGAGTTCTTGACAAGTTTCCCGGCGAGCTGCCCATACGGTACATCTGTAGGAGCGACACGCAACATAGAGCCCGAAGAGGTGGCACATAATGAGCGCAATGGATTCGTCAGTGGTGGCGGCTTTTCACGGTATTTTCCACGCCCCGCTTACCAAAACGCCCATGGAGTCGTGAGCTCGTATTTGTCGCGCCTCGGGGACAATACATATACTGGTCTTTATAACCGCGAAGGTCGTGCATATCCCGATGTCGCGACGCAAGGGTACCGGCGGGTTATAGTATGGAATGGTGAGAAATTCCTTGTCGATGGGACGAGTGCCAGCGCGCCTACATTCGCGGCTGTGATTGCGTTGGTAAATGATGCACTTATTGCTGAGGGGAAGCCTGTGCTTGGGTTTCTGAATCCCTGGTTATATCAGAAAGGCTTCGAAGCTTTTACGGATGTTACTAAAGGGAGTAACAAGGGGTGTGGAACGGATGGCTATTTTGCAGCAGCAGGATGGGATCCTGCTAGTGGCTTTGGGACGCCTGTGAGTTAAACCCTTTCTTTATTTATTGCGATCTCTGAGATGAGTATTTCCCGAACTGACTCTTTTCGTTCTTGCAATAGTGGTTTCCGCGGCTGAAAGAATTGGCATTAGAGCGTAAATTTCGTAGCCAGCGACCTTGGTATTGGCCATACTTATGATTAATACTATTTTATTCTTTCTCACCTCACGAGATGACATTACTTAAATGAGACATAACTTTAAAAAGTGAGATTGGCAGACGCCGTTACATACTAGCGCTTCTTCTCGAGCAAGTGTAAATCCTACCGCTTGCATACAGTAAACCCATCAGTTTCCAAAAGCGTTATGTGTAAATAGCTTACCCCACGCCTTGTATTACCATAGAATATTAGTGCGGGAAAAATGCTTCTCGAGTTATTTTGAAGAATTTTCAATTTTTTTAATTTTAATATCAGCATAGGGAAGTTATTGATTTATTGGTCACAATGTCTTCTCCATTCTGCAAGAAGAAGTGTGCTATGTGCATGTCAAAAAAATCTGTAGTTTCCACAGGGAGTCGAACTCAACAAACTTCGACTCTTCTACTCTAGCTATCTCGTCGCTTCGCTCCCAAAACAGACCTTTCAAAACCCGATCTCACCTCACCACTGGGGCTTTCCCATAGCTCTAATTTTAGCCCCGAACTTCCACAAAATCAATGGTGCTAGAGACCCAAAAACCATCGCAATCAGCGCGAGCGTAGAATTTGCCCATCCCCACCCCAGAGCAGTATACATGGCCGGTGCAAATATCGGGAACGCGAAGCCGGCAATCATGCGCAAGAGCTGACTCGCAGCCATGGCAGACGCGGTGTATTTGCCAAAGGAGTCCAGGACGTAGGCTAGTATTAGTCCAGTATTGAGGAAAAAGCCACAGCCAAAAATCGCGGCTCCAATGTCTGGCATGATCCAGTGAATATGTGCTTCAGCTGACCAACCATACCAGAATAGGCCAATAGGCATAAGGAGACCACTGGGGACCATGAGAGGGACTCGGTACTCAGGAGCGGTCTCTCCACCAGCCTTCTCCGTCAGATGTGCCCAGATGCGATCCATGACCTCTGCCTCGATGGTGTTGGCAACCAAGTAGCCCAACGCAAGAGCGATATAGTGCAGTCCACTTTGCAACGTGGTTTGATGATATACATCGGTGTAAAGCGAGGAAAAGGTAGAAAGGACGAAGTATAAGATTCCGAAGTTATAAGCTAAGAATAAAGATATTACCATAAGAATTGGTTGGGTAGCAAGGAGCCTAGCCGGACGATTGATGCTTAACCACAACTTTTGAGTGACCTTCTGATTTGGGCCTTCGTATTCCGTGTGGTAGTGCTGGCCTGTCGCTTTGCTAAGCTCCCTGGCTTTGTCACCCAAGATCTTTGCCGCGGACGTTTCGGGGAAAACGAAAAATCCCAAAATCATCAAGCATCCGGAGAAAATAGCTGCGACCCAGAAAATCCAACGCCAGCCGATGGTTTGCGTGATAATACCGCCAATGAGAGGACCCATAGCAGGGCCCAGCAGTGGTAAGAATGAAACAATAGCACAAGCTTTACCACGTTCTTCTGGTGACCATACATCATCTACAACGGGATAAGACATCTGTCGGAGGTCAATTGTCTGATTTATCCTAGGGATAAGAAGTGCTAGAGACCTACCACGAAATCTACACTACCCCCAAACCCAGACAAAAGTCTGGAAGCGACCAAAAGACCTTTGTTGTGAGAAAACCCAGAAACAATACTCCACACACTATAAAACGTGCCGCATAGAATCCACACCGGTCTTCGCCCATAGACCTCTGCAAAGGGCGCCAAAATCATAGGACCAAATGCAAATGCCAGCACGAAGACCGAAAGCGTTATCTGTGCAGTGGCTTCTGACATGCCCAAGTCGTGACCAATGGCGGGGAGTGCAGGTGCGAGCATACTGCCAGACATCATAGTTATAAAACCTCCACAAGATACCAGGATCGTAACGCTCCATTTCAGCGGTGAAGACCAATTCTGAGGATTTGATTTGTCTTCAGGGCCATCATATGTGACCTGTGCCGAATGCGTAAGCTGAGATTTCCATGCTTTATGTGAGATGTACGCTCTTACCATGAATGGGTTTGCTTGTTCATTTACGGACCCGTCGGCGCTGGAATCGCCAGCAGCTACACAAGCGTGTTTTTCCTCGTCGACCACATTAAAAGGAACATGTGTGGCAGATGCTCCATCTAGAAGAACTTTCTCCTGATCACATGCATGAGGTTCAGTTGAAGTATTGCCTTGTGCCATGGCTCGGTGAAAATATAGGTGGCGGCGAGGAGGGCGGAAGGTACGAAATGATTGAGCAATGAAAACAACAAAAGGCGTTTATATGAATTTATTATTACCCCGTACAAAGTTCCCTGCTGAACAGTCTAATATGCGGCTACGGAGTTCGGATATCTGCAAACCTGGTCGCCGATCACAACTAACCAAGGCAGTCACGGAGTTCGCTTGTATGAAGTAGAAATCCTACTGTAGATGTCAGGTCAATACCATAGCGAACCTGAACAATTTGACTGTGCATAATATATCGTCACCTTATTAGGAAGTTAATATGCATTCAATAGGTTCAAAGCTTACCTATATTAGATTAGCTTACTTAAGCCTCAGATACGGTCTACTATGTAATACGGAAAAGCCCAACTAGATAGAGTATGTTGCGATGTTTCTCTAGCACGCAACTATTCATCCTTATGATTTTTTGTTTTGTAATATTACAATAATTGATTGACTTTTGGAACTGCAAAATTGTCATATGTTACCCACTTTGAATCCTAATCCTATACATGATACAAAAAAGATGCTCTCATGATCTTTTAGAAGCAAAAGAATGCATTAGTAAAAGCGGGTGAATCGACTAAGTCCATTTTGAAGTTCTCGGGATAATTGCAGTTGTTATTAGGAGGTTCAAATCAAAGAGACGAATAGCAGCATCTGCAAGAAATGGATCTATTAAATTAATTAAAGCGTATATGAGTATGCGGTAAATGGAGGCAGTAGATTTCACTTGAGAAGCTAGTTTATGGGTTCTGTAGCACTGTATTTGTAACAATAACCCCACTAATTCTTTGTAGAGGGCATTACAAAAAGATCATTCATATCCTTCTTCTCATTCCATGAGACCCTTACCTTCCCCTTCATTGTAAACTGGTCCTGTTTTGTGTGGTGGTTAGATAAAGCTAATGCAAGATTCCAATGGATTCTAAAGTTAAACTTACCCAGTGTAGGGTGAACGAGAAAACCAGGCTTGAACATATCAATCGTGCGATTGTTCGTCCAGTCGGTCAATGCATCAAAGTCAATGCACTGATGAGAGGTTGCTGCGGCATATGGCTTGCGGCTACCTTGGCCCCATTTATATGTCACTATGCCAACGTCGCCATGGCAGATTGCAGATTTGCGTAAGTGATTTAAGCAATGTTCTGTCACCACATTAGCTTCTTCATCTCACAATCAAAAAAATATATATATTTTAAGGTGAAAGTAAGGCTGCGATGGGAATGAGGTTTACCGGAATGTAGCCTATTTTCCTCTCGCTGTGCATCGTCAAGGTTCGGATAATAGTGCTCTTGGTACATGTACGTATGCATCCATTTCTAAAAAGCAAAAGCTTATCAGCTGAAAATCCCTACAACACAGCAGTGGCATACACACGACACAATGAATCTCATGATAAATGTTCAATGTTCCAGCGTACCCCGAACCATCAGGAAGCTGCACAGCGTCTTCTTCACGGTTGAATGCCTTCAGATCTCTAAGAGATAAGCGAACATTCATATCTATAGTGATGGAGGCATAAGTTTTAAATATTTAAAAGAGGGGTTCGAATATGGCATACTCCCTAGAAGATTTTCCCACGCTTCCTCGAGTTCGGGTCGTGGATATCCCGAATACGGACCTTCATGACCGTCGCCAGAATGAAACTGATGTAGCTGCCATCGTAATACTTCATTCGCAGGCGCTGTATCAATCAATATCAACGTCTCGAAAGGAGTGGGGAGCATACAGTATAGTAGGTTACGACTTTGTTGCACGGTCTTCGTCCTCGAATCTAAAGCAAGTGTAGCCAATATCGTATAGGTGAGAAAGATAGCTAAGTGAATGCAGAATGCAAAGAGGTTTCGGACCCAGAAAGAACGGCGATGAGATTTTTGAGATGCCTCATCCATGAGTGTCTCTTTTTCTGAGAAGTCGTCGGGTTGGTGATAGGGAGCACTACCATTCGCTGTCTCGGAAGATGCTCTGGCCGAAGAACCAACCACGCTGTATTCTTGTGACATGATCGATCAAATCGCTTCGAGAGTTTAGAGATGATCTCGAGGTTTCGGCTGGTAAAGAAAGAACAGTGCGAGAAGATACGGAGAAAGAATGTTCCTATCCTCCCGTTCAAAGATTTCCAATATGGAGTGGGGAATAACAAGTGGTGAAAGTGGTCTAACTTACTTTCGATCATGGATGGAGTATTCCATATGGGACGTAGCTATCTCCAAGCGTCTCTGCGGCACTGCTGTACAGGCGTAGGAAACCAAACTTTGGAGGCCATCTTCATCCCGGCTGTCGAGATCGGCTGTAGCGTGCACGGACTTATGACGATGCGGTACGCTAGCCAGGGTTGGGTTAGGGTATCATGCAGGGTCACTCGCTAACCGTCCCGCCCGCCTCCGCATTTTTTAGTTTCCTTCCTTCGCACTCTGTACCCCGTACCTCACCTCCTCATTGACAGCGCGTCGTCCTATGTAGTGTCAACCACGACTGCACGACTGCACGACTTCGATATCTCTCTGATCGGGTTAGCCCGCCCGTCTTCCTTGTCACGTGCTTCCCTCGACTACAGAACCAGAATTAGAGTCGGAGCCGGAGCCGCACTGCGAGGAGAACGATGTCATGTTGACTAGGCCCCAAAGGGCTATACTGCTATGTTGATGTAAATCTCTATCAATCCTTCATTGTATCCAGAGAATCGCTAACCAACGTATAGGTACAGTCACTGCTGTAGCACCTAATCACTCTGGGGTCAAGATCAACGAATAGTTGCTACAATCCACGGAATTCTTGACTACCCCTGAACTTGCCTTCAATTGTATCCCCCCAGAATCGAGATGCCAAGTCACACAACTAAGGTTATTCCAAACCTCAATGGGGCTAGCCATATCCAAATATTGAGCTTCTGATTTGCAATCAATAGCCAGGCTACCATGTCGGCTTTGCTCTTTGTTTTACCCTTGCCGACTCGAAAGGCATCTAGCCTGAAGCCGGCATTCCATGGTTGTATATTCTTGGTTGCCGAAGAAAGGTCTACGAGGTCAACACAATGTAGTTCAGTCTCTCCCAGATCGATCCCTTCAAAGACTTCTATGACCATGCAGATCCGGTAGCGTCGACTGAAGAAGTTCAGCAATCCTATAGCCCGGTGAATTGGTCATGTCAGTATGAAGGATTTAGTTGCTGCATCTCTACAAACAAGCCCTTGAGAAGTTTGACCATACACAATGTCGACCTTCTGACCGGGGTTCGAAACTATGGCCATTTACATTGGCATCGTTGGCGGTAGACTCCATATCGTCATCTCGAGCAATGTATGCACCGTCATACACAACTTGAAAGGGTAAACAGCTCTAGAGTTGGAGGAGAAGTTCTGAATAGATCAAACGCTGGGCAAAACAATATAAGAAGAGATACTCTAGAAGTCATCTATTCTCTCCAGCTCCAACTCCAACTCCCACTCCAACTCCAACTCCAGTTCCAACTCCAATTCCAACTCCAACTCCAACTTCAATCTCAAGTCCAACTTCAATTCCGTTGTACGCCTAATAAATATGCGTTCATCATCTTTGGCCGTCCTTGTCGTGGCTTTGGCCAGCTTTGGAGCTGCTGCTCCATTGGCAGGTAGGATGAGAACCCATCCATTTCTTCTTTTGGCTTAACTAAATCATTACTAGATGGACTCGTGACCCGTGCCGACGCCGACACTGCCTCCAAATATGTCGTGGATAAGCGGGCTGATGCCGACACTGCCTCTAAATACGTCGTTGACAAGCGCGAGCCTGCTGATGCCGATACTGCCTCCAAATACGTCGTGGATAAGCGG